CATTTCTATGTGTGTTCTTTGTGTAAATACTGCTATCAATAAGTAATTTCCCAATAAATATGGTATTATCTTCAAGTAAATACTGTGCTCAAGGTTATTTATATAACACCAATAAATTATAAGTGTTTTATGAAGAAATACGAAATAGCAGCAGTGTTGAGGTGTTCACCTGTGAGATAGGTCAACTGTCAGCTTCCAGACCATCACACGTCACTATCTTTGTTGCTTCCTTCAGCAGCTAGGGCTCTTACTCTTATGCCTGGCATTAGGTGCTGGAGGACTAAAGATTTATTTAAAAACAAGAGTCCCAGCCCCTGAAATCATCTCTGTCTAATGAGGAAAGCAATGTTGGGAAGAGCTAATCACAGTATTGCTCAGTGACACACAGAAATGCATGATAAGTGTGTGAGGAGATACTGGGTCTAGAGAGTTGGGGAAAGCTTTGTAAATCAGAAAGTACTTGCGCCAGGTGGTGAAAGATTGTTCGGAGTTGCCAAGCAAAAGAGGCGGTGGATGACTGCTGGCGTAGTGGCTCCTAGGCATCCAAGAGCCTGGAGTGTTCAGGGGAATGAGGGTGCTTTCTTAAGGCTGCAGCAGAAGTTAACTGGGAGTGGGGGTGGGGCATAAGGAGATAAGTGGGAAGATGTGGGTGGTACCATATTAAGGAGCATCTTGTTAGCTTTCTGAAAAACTTGTTCTCATTTACCTTGCTTTTACTTTTTCTTTTTTTACTCCTGGTATATGTTTGCAAATTGTATTTTGTGGGACTAGTATTGTGTCATTAACTATATTTACTCTAATTTTCTCTTCAGATTATACTGACTTGGCCATGAGCACTGTGAAACAGACCCAAGCCATCCCATATACTGGTCCCTTTAATTTGCTCTATTACCAGCTACAGAAATTGACAGGTATGTGTATGGATTGAAATTCCTTTAATTGTTTTCTGTTTTTTAGTAAGATAATTTTATATCTAGGAAGGAATGTTATTTAATTTTGGTAATTGTCTCAGAATTGTACAAATTTTATTTATACACATGGTCATGTTATTATTGCCTTTAGGTGAAATTTTTGAAAATATACTCATAAATTTTTTTTAATTCCATTCTACCTCTCATCATTGATCCACTTAAATTTTAAAAATATCAATAGTCTTTGCTCCTTTTGTTTAAAATCTATTTTAGTTGACTATACCTAAAATTTTATTTATTTATTTTATTTGATCAGTGAAAATAACTTTTCTGGTTCCATCAGTACCAATCTATACAGAAGGTTTTATTAGAGCTTAATAACCACTGGCCAAAGGCTAGTAGGAAAATAAACCTATTCTATTTTCATATTAAACCATTTTGAGTTAGAGATTTTTGTGTATTAACATAATGAGGAGCAATGACTAAATTAAAAGGTATGGAGACTCACTAATAAAGCAAGAATATTTCATATTACAAAATACACTTTTGATCGGTATGCTCTTTATAATTCATTATAGTAAAGTACTACCATAAAATAAACCAGTAGAAAGAAATTTTTTTTTTACCTCATAACCATGTTAGAATTATAGGTCATAACATAGGAAGTTAATAAAATATATCTAAACTAATTCTTGATTAAGGCCGGGTGCGGTGGCTCATGCCTGTAATACTAGCACTTTGGGAGGCCAAGACAGGAGGATCGCTTGAGCTCAGGAGTTCAAGACCAGCTCTGAGCAAGAGCAAGACCCCGTCTTAACTAAAAAGAAAATAGAAAGAAATTATCTGGACAGCTAAAAATATATAGAAAAAATTAGCCGGGCATGGTGGCGCATGCCTGTAGTCCCAGCTACTCAGGAGGCTGAAGCAGGAATTTCGCTTGAGGCCAGGAGTTCTGGAACAGCAGCCTGGGCAACATACTAAGACCCTATCTCTTTAAAAAAAAAAAAAAAAAAGAAGAAGACATTAGAAAGACCAGAAAAGTCTCATCTTTGACAATAGAATTTCCCTGTAGAATTATTGAACTTATGAAGACAGAAAGGAGAAGAGACTAGTTGGCAGTATTTGACTAGTTTCATACCAAATGTTAAGATACTAGTGGAAGGCTAAATCTCTTGTTACAAACATATATGTTTGAATATCACCTGAGTTTGCTACTGATAAAATATTTAATGTCCAAGGTAAATTCTACCTAGTTATATAAATTTTTATAATACATGTTGAGATCTTTCAGTTGCTATAAGCAATTAACATAAAACTTACTTAGCTGCTTTATTTCAGTTCTCTCTATAAACAAATGAATAGTTATGCCTCTGGAAGATTATCAGAAAATTATATACACTTTGTAATCACTTCTTTTTTTCAGGTGATGTAGAAGAATTAGAAATTCAAGAAAAACCTGCTCTGAAAGTGTTCAAAAATATTACTGTAATACAAGAACCAGGCATGGTGGTATTAGAAGTAAGATAAGATCATTTACCTAAACAAGGAGGAAAAAAGTTTTAAAATGGTTTATGTGCAATTCTAGAGAAATTCGTTTCTTCCCAATTAGGAAAAATACATTGTTGGAAAATATATATGTGAATAATTTTTCTTTCCAAGATCAGTGTTCAGTATAACATAGCTGGGCATTTTCTATGTCATTATAACAACACAGAAACTAATAATGAGTTAAGGCTTCATATTTAGTAGGTGTGATAAGTATAGGTCTCACATGAGTGAGGCTCAACTGATTTTGTGGTACTCCAGGATGTCTTCAGTTATATCAAAAGATCTTAGAATTCTCAGATAAAAATTTAATTCTGTTATATTAAAACAAGCAAATTTATCATGCAGCACTCCTTAAAAGAGTGGAATTTCAAAGATTCAAGTAAACAATAATAAAGTGACCCAAATCCAAAAAGGCTAAAAATCATCAAATTAGGTAAATGTGGTTCCTGCTGTTAGAATTTTAAATTCCTACTGGTAGAGTTTGGAAAACAGACATCAAAGGAATTGTAGGGTTGACTTTTGATAGATTGGCACCTGTTAAGTGTAAAGAAGGACTTTTAAAGTGAGTCTTGGCAGTGAACAATCCAGGAGAGCACCTTGTCTGTTCCTCTGCCTCAAGGTAGAATTGTAGGTAAATTTCCAAGGTATATGGTTAAATATTTTATTTATATATGCTATTTTTTAAAACAAATAGAAAAAGATCCATCAGCTCTGATCCCACTATAA